TCTATATAGACAATGAAACCTTGAAAAATACTTGCAGTTCTTATTGTTTTTACATTTTTTATTATAAAAAAAGGATTTCTGTTAATATTTATTCTAAACATTTTTAATGTCTACTTTTAAATCTTAACAGCCCCTAGCTGAAGAGATGGTAATGGTTTATAAGTTTCTTTAAGTTGCATTTAGGACACACATAAAAACTGAGTGGATTTCCATCTGATGTTAACAGGCTGCTCCTTCACCTCTGTTCTAGAGGTACCAACAGCATTTCTTGGTCCCCTTGTTTATGTAAAATGAAGCTGATTCTGTTATTCAACATATTTCTCTGTGGTGTATTAATACACATCTAATGAATCATACTGTTATAAAAATCCATTTTCTGAGTTGGTTAATTCAATTAAATGCTGCAAAAATGGTACTTTAAAAAAATCTCCTTTTTCTATAACTCTTTCTGTGCAGAAAGAATCGGTGGCACTGGCTGTGCGTCTGATTGACGAGTCAGAGGTCCGAGGATATAAGCTCCATGTGGAAGCAGCTCGGTTCGAGTTGAAAGGCCAGTATGATGCCAGCAAGAAGAAGAAGAAGAGCAAAGATTATAGAAAGAAGCTACACCAGCAGCAGAAGTAAAGCAACTCCCCCTATATTTGAAAATATTTTTCAAACACCAGAAAAGTAAATATAGAGCAAGCAGAATTTATTTAACATGTTGGAAGAAATGCTGTTAATCTTTAATTTTTGTGCACATCAAATATAAACATTGGTTTAGTTTCAAGCAACTATTTTAATTTTTTTATCTTTAACTCTCTAAGTTTTAAAGTTTTAGTCCGATAAAAAAAAAAAAAAACAAAAAAAACAATCAATTTAAGCAGCCCTTTTAAATGATATGTTTTGTGTCCTAAAATCTACTGTTTAACAAAAACTGGGTGAAATAGCATAAAATAGGAAAACAAAACTAATACAAGCATTAATGGGGGTACTTTTGCAGCCTGGAAGTGACTTGAAGTTGCTTTCAAGTTTTCCAGGTCTGGTATGAAAAATATAAAATTAAGGATAAATACAGGTTGATTTGCAAAATGTCAGCTTGCCTTTTAACATCTTATCTTATGATAATTTCTAAGGTAAAAATATTTTTATAGTCTGTAGCCTTCCTCTAATCTTTTTAAAGTGGAAAAATGTGACAAAAGTTGGTTGAGTTACCAGAAGAAGATAAACAGATAATGTGTATTTTTGACTTGCAATTTTTTTTTAAAGTGGAGATGTTGGGTCTTCAAAAAAAATTATGAAAATCCTCCACAATACCTTTAACGGCATTGGTTCATCGACTAAATTCTAAAAAAAATAAAATAAATAAAGTGAAATTTTCACCAATATTTCCCTTTTTTTATCTATATCTAGGATAGGAGTTCTTGTGTGGTTCTCAGTTCTTTGTTCCTCTTGCAGGCAGCTGGACTGGAGACCTGAGAAGCAGGGAGAAATCAGGAAGAGGCATGAAAAGGTCGTCATCATCAGGAACATGTTCCACCCCAGTGACTTTGAGGTGCAGAAAAAAAAAGACTCTCATTCACACACACGTATCAGTTAATATTCAGTTTGGTGTAAAACTGTCATCTGGGTTTGTCTGTTTCAGGAAGACCCGCTGGTGCTGAATGAGTATCGCGAGGATCTAAGGTCAGAATGTGAGAAGTTTGGTGAAGTCAAGAAAGTTATCCTGTTTGATGTGAGTTTAATGAATCCCACTACTAAACTTTGGATTAACTCAGCCAAAAGAAAAATAGTGAAGCCTGTTGGTTTCTGTGTGTTTGCCCTGCAGAGACACCCTGACGGTGTTGCATCAGTTGCTTTCAAGGAGCCGGAGCAAGCAGATGCTTGTATTCTTTCATTCAACGGCCGCTGGTTTGGAGGAAGACAGCTGTCTGCGCAGCTCTGGGACGGAACCACAGACTATCAGGTCAGAACTGCTGAAAACTTTACCGTCTGCAGACAATGGACCGGAAACCAATGTTTCCACCAATGTTTGGATCACGGAGGAATCACCTTTCAAAGTTCTTACAATACGCAAGTCGTTTCTCTTATTTGGTTATTTGTTGATGGTTAGTTACTGCTTTGATAGAACTGGATCTTGATGTTAAACTTAAGGGGTTTAAATGTTCGACAGCTGTTTCTTCGTAAAAAAAAAAAATGCTTTGCAACTTGGGCTTCCAAATGTGGCCTTTGCACATCATGCTTAGTAGTATTGGCAGTATCATGCTGTGGGATGCTTCTGGGTCATATCCAGTCTTTGGCGAGACACTGCAGTATGTCTAATGAAATTCTTCATTAGTTGCTGAAAGTTGTTGCATGTTTGTTGAACCAAATTAAACTAAAAGCCAAAAACCTGAATGATCAAATCTAAATATGTTTGCAGGTTGAAGAGACGTCACGTGAGCGGGAGGAGCGGCTAAAAGGTTGGTCTACATTCTTGGAGGAAGCAGATCAACAAAAGCTGAAAGACGGTACCAGCAAAGCAGCAGAGAGCAGCACAGAACCCAGCGAGTCCAGCAGCACCACAGAACCTCAGCAAACAGAGCCGCAATCATCAGAGCAACCGGAAGAGCGAGTGGACTCTACTGACAGCAGCCTGGCAGGAAGTGACAACGAGGAAGCCCAGAGTCCTGATTCAAAGTGAAGAGCACCGTCGTTTTCAGCGCAGGATATGGGGAGGACAGATGTGGACAGTTTTAGCTATTTTTTTGTAATGTAGAAAAATAAAACAATATTTTCCTTCCCTATTTTCATAAGTTTGGTTTTCATTGTGGAGTTCGACTAATCTGTTCCTCCTCTTTAAATATACACCTTTAGTTATTATTTGCATTATTGTGCTGATAAATCTCATTAAGAACACAAATCTGACCATAACTGGACGATTGATGCTTGTTTTTATTTAAATTTAGGTGTGATCTGATTTATTTTTTTTGGCTTCTAAGGTAAATATGTTGGTTTAATACATCAGTGACAGAAATCAGGAAAACTCCTTTGGGTTTACTGTTATGCATGGTGTTAGCAGTATACAATATATATAAAGCATTTACAGACCTTAACGACTTCTTTAAAAAAATGATAATGCAAAAAAATGTGGTTCTTATTGCATTGTCTCCACTTAGAAAGCTTGGTGAGTGTTAATCACAACACATCTAGCTGGAGTTAATACTTAGAGCAAACTTCAAAATAAATGCTTCGTTTGGTCTGAAACAGAAACAGATCTGGTGTTTTATTTAGTTTTTTTTTTAATGGGCAAAATTTAAAATATGTGCTTCAGCAGTATTACATGGCTTCAGAAAGGAACTTAAAATGCAAAATAGAATCTGCTTCAGATTTAACTAAAGTTTACTCTGATAAGTAAATGGAAGAAAAAACAGCTTGTTAGATGTTTGCAGTGTGTGACTGATCTCTGGAGCTAATTGCAAAGAGAAAAAGGCTTGTTTTTTTTTTTTATCCTTGTTTCACATTTTTTTGGCTATTTTAAATTTTTTATTTTTTACTTAAACACCAAAGTTGGCAGAAGAAAGTTAAGCTCAAACCTCACATTTTTTTTCTAATAGTATTTCAACTTTCTCCAAAATTTGATCATATTTAAGAATATTTGGGTTATCTTTTTGCAACTTTTTAAAAATGTTTCATTATTTTGAAGTTTGGGACTCTGTTCAAAACCATACCAGTCCCTCAGTCAAATATTTTAGAGGATTAAGTTTCTCTGTTTTAATGTTTGAGCATAGCTGTGAACGTCCCAATAACTCAAATTTATCATGTCCTGTTGTCTTTTTGACATTTTCTGTGAATAAAATGTTGTTCACTAAGTATAAAATGGCAAATATCACTGAATTATTTTCAAATTACCAGCTCTATAGTGAACTGAATAAATAGGGATCCGTAAAATATTGTAGATCAGTAGCATATAAATAGTTCTAGGTTTACTCTGTGAAAGAAAAGTAAAGAAAAATATTCTGCAAGTTTTGGGTTTATTTGTGTGTTTTTAGCAGCATAAACAAAATAGGGCTCATTGTTACTACATTTAGCAAAGTAAATCATGTAAGTCTGGTTTTTAGACCTAAAGCTATTGCATGTATGTAGTATCAAATCAAACAAAAAGCCAAAAACATGATTGATACAATATAAATATATTTACATTTTAGGAAGAATATCTTTTATTTTAAGGCCTTGTGTCAGAATAAATAGAAATCAACCTCAACTATCTTTTATAATTAAACATTTATCTGTGTCAACTGCTTATCTAAATTCATGCTTTTATTGAACTCTGGTCAACAATTTAATAAATAAAATTATGTGGAACAAACATTTTGTGCTGAGGGAACGATTCCAGTAGTCTGAAAGCTGACAAAGGGCCAATAAACACTGAGATGATCATCATTTAAACAGGAGAACGAACCAAAGAAAAACCAACATTGATGCCTAACATCTGTATCTGATGTTGAATATAGTTACAACAGTTTAAAAAGTCACAAAATGCTGTGTTTCATTTAGATTATATTTAGCTTAGAGAGTTTGGAGATTAAAATTTAAAAGTTTGTTGGTTTTGTTCTGACTGGCCCCTGCAATTCTTAAAAAAAAAAAAAATATATATATATATATAAAAGGTTTAATGTTCTGTATCTGGATGAATCAAATACTACCTTTGTATTGTTTAGACTAAAAACCAGTCTGCTCTGTTTCAGTGCCTGGTTTGAATGTTAGTGAGAGAAAATAGAAATCCAGCAGGTAAATAAACCAGTTTTCTAGGATAAAGTGAAGTGGAGTATTTTAACCTGTCTGACCACTAGGGGGCACTGTGACTCTTTTATATAGGTTTTTTTAAAACCACAAATATAAATAAAAAAACATTTTAATAGATTTCCAGAGATCAAAACAGAGAAACATAAAAAGTCATTGACGGATAGATTTTTGTCCTTTTTATTTTTAATAGAACATCAAAAGCCTATTAAATCAAAGTTGTCTGTTTTTAGGACTGTTTTTGACAAAAAGAATTTTCCTCCCATCCCCTTCCATCACTTTCAGTTCAGCCTTTATCTTTAAAGTTTGAATTTTCCTTATACTAACATGCTTTATTTTTGCAGCTGCATAGATGACCGATAGTGTTTTTTGGATTCCTAGATCCTCAGCCACTGTTTTCACAGGAGGTGTTAAAGTGTTTATCAGCTTTTAAGAATGTGAGAATGATGCAAAGTTCTGCAGATCAGTGGTTCCATTGTTATTTTACGGCTAGAGACAGTAGAGCTGTTTAATTCAGTACATTTAATATACTGTCAGGATTTGAGTACACCGCTTTTCTAATCCTATTCAGATCTTTATGCTATCACATTTACATATACCTATATATATAATATTATATTACATATAACTCTTTACAGCCTACATCTGATTTTTTTAAATCAGCAAAAAGTTGACATAATGTTGTTGTTTCTTCATAGCAATGCAGCCAATAATCAGCCTTTATGATGGAGAAACTTTACATGTTAGCTTAGTGAGAAAACAAAAACAGAAAGACAAACTAAAAACAAAGCCAAACAAAAATCAGGGCTGGAAACTTCCGTCACATGATCATGATCACGATCATTGATTTTAATACTTTAAAATTGACTTTAAAAAACGTTCAGAGATTTGTGATTTGACTTTGATCTTTATGCCTATGACTTGGCACTTCAATTGGACTTGAACCAGTTTACTTGAAATAATTTGATATCTTACCCAAAACCAAACTCTTAAAACACCTTTTATTTAATGGTACAGAGTGTAATAGTTATAGGGATTTACTGATATAAACATAGTATATTATCTATATGTATGTTATTTATTATCACCTATAATAAAGAAGGTCTCAATCTTCGTCTTTGCCTTGCCTTAGAATTGCTATTTACAATCACATAGGAGTGGATTTGCATTTGTGGAGGCAGACATCTTTTGCACTAAAGCAGCAAAGAGCTGACAAACTAGTGACTCTATAGATTGCCATTATTCTCGAATGTAACTTTGGCAAGTGAGGCCTACATGCTATCCTACACAGTCTAATACAACACTACTTATAAAATAATCTATGTAAACCGGACATAAAGGTCACGACTGACAACCGCCCGATGGGTAGGAGTGCCCAAAACAGGGGGATGAATCAGACTTAATCACATTAAACATACATGGCTTTGTTAAAAAAAAGACTCAAAGGACTTAACCCTTTAAAGCCCGATCCAAGAATAAAACAAAACAGAAAATTACTTTTTTTTGGTTTGAAGTCCTTATTTGGCCTTTTAACAAAATATGTAAAAAGAAAAAACAGAAATACTTTTTGATATTAATAATTTATTACTATGTGATAAGTCAAGATAATTTTTTGTGTAGTTCTGCCCTCTGTTATCAGGTATATCTGATTGTGTACAATAGGATTTTGAGCAAAGTTTTTACCATTAAATTATGCAAAAGGTGTCAGACGCAAAACATTTCAGAAACCATATGTATTAAATACGATACATTTGGCATTATAGGGTTAAAAATGTCAATTTTAAGACTTGGAATTGGCTTGAGTGCTATCTGTCTTGACTTTGATTCGAGTGTGACTGTCTTTGCTTAAAACTTGACTTGGGACATTAGGATAAAGCAATGAGATGTACTTGAGATTTAAAAAAACTAATTTGGAGACAGAGACATTGTTTTATTATTCACGAAGATTCCGAAAATAAACCTCAATCACATTTGCAGACAAACATTAAACTGGGAACTTCTAGCTCTTAGCCTTTTGAGTTAGAGCCTAACAAAAAGTTAAGCCATAATACCTATGCAGAAGAATTTAGTTTCTGTGTAGTTTGATAAAATGTTGTGAAAATAAAGTCACTTTAACTTAAAGAACTTTTGTAAATCTGTTGCCATTGCTTCTCATTCCCAGTGTTGCTCACTGATTTGTTAGCATTTAAAAAGTATATTTAACATCAGAAAGTCCACCTCAGTGGTTTATACTTTGAATTATAAAGGTATTTTCTGGTATATCTCTACCAGCTCTACACTTGTTGATCATTTTTGTTTGGTAAAATACTTCAAACTCAAACATCAAACATCTCAGTTCCCACCAAAACTCCTCAATTGGTCTTAGATCTGGTTACTGCTGAAAGGTGTCACCATTCACCCCAGAACAAAGTATTATTTATTCCCTTAAAAATGTTACTCTTAGATTGCTCACATCATGCTCCAGTCATCGTCTCTTCAGGAGTGGTCAAAAAAGAAGAACTTTTTTCCAGAAAAGATGCTAAAGTCAAGTAATTTATCACATTTACTGACCCACTCACAACTATTCATGTTTGTACAATATCTCAAATTTTCCGATGAATATTCTAAGTCATCCTGGTCATAGTCATTCCATAAAAGTTCACAAAAACCAATGGACTTGGTTTC